TGTTTTAATCAGAAATTTTAATGTTATGGTGATAGAAGCTCAAATTTAGATTATTAGCTCATATGCTTGTGTGTATATGTTTTGTCAAGGTTGAACAGTGACTAATCTATACTGGACCTTCAAAAACTTAAGACAGCCCTGATGCTATTAGGATAAGTATAAACTACTGTCAAATGGAAGCTATAGCACTCCAGTGTGGTGTGTTCGAACAAACCACTATTATTGTCTGTGATTTGAGATCGCCAATACTAAGATTGAAGTAAACTTGTGTAATTTCTCATGTCTGCAAAGTTTTGAACATGGAAATTGAGCTATTGATATTCAAATTTCTTGTATTTTGTTTTAGTTCTAGGATGTAGGTAATGGCAATAAAACAGCCTTTATCTTGGAATCATACGGAGTTAGTTGTGCATATATTCTCTATTTGAGAAAACAAAGAAGATTTGTGTTTGCATTTGAGTCTTTAACTTGAAGTATCTATAATAAGTTAGTGACACTTTGTTGAATTTTCTATTCAGGCCCTTTTACTCAAAGGGTATTGCTGACACTGGAGGAAAAACATTTACCTTATGAGACGAAATTGGTGGATTTAAGGAACAAACCAGAATGGTTATCTTCTAGTCCATTTCTCTGTGCTAAGTTTTCTTTTTACCTCTATATTTGAGAGCTGCTTTTTTCATAATACTCGACTGTTTACGGACCACAAGTCCACAACTTTTTCTATCATCGTACTGCTTTAGTATTTCATTTCCTTGTAATAGTAATTTGTTTTGGTGATTCAGGTTCCTTGAAATCAGCCCTGAAGGTAAAGTTCCTGTGATAAACATTGATGGGAAGTGGGTTCCTGATTCAGATGTTATCACACAAATATTGGAAGAGAAGTATCCTAGCCCGCCATTGGCGACTCCACCAGAAAAGGCTACAGTGTATGTTTCTCGCTTATAAATTTCCTCAACGTTTATGTTTCCCCACTACCATGTGTCACCTTTTGATTCTTTAATGTTTACATGGCTATATTGAATTTAGTATGCTCATCTAATGTGTGCGGCTGTTTTTATCTATAGTGGATCAAAGATCTTTTCTACATTTATTGGATTTCTTAAGAGCAAAGATCCTAATGATGGAACAGAACAAGCATTACTAAATGAACTAAGCATCTTCAACGATTACCTCAAGGAAAATGTAAGACTTTTTTCCCGTTTTTGTCTTTCTGCATTTTGTTTGAGATTTTTTCCCTATAAAGCTTAATATCTATGCAAAATACTTCTTCTCACAGGGTCCTTTTATCAACGGGAAAGACATATCTGCAGCTGACCTGTCACTTGGGCCAAAGGTATACCATTTGGAGATTGCTTTAGGGCATTATAAGAAATGGGCGGTACCTGATTCACTTAACTTTTTGAAATCTTACTTGAAGGTACGTTCACGATAAACCTCCCCCAATCAACAATATCATCATTTTCTTGTGCTTTTAGACTATTTTCAAATCTAGAATTGAATGCAGAATACTTCCTTAAGCCTATATTTATGACACAGTTTTATAAATGTGAATTGTTGATTAAGTTAGTGGAAATCATGTTCAAAAGATGTTCTGCATTGTCCATGCTTTAAGATCATAGGCTAATTGGTGAAGATGGTTTATCAACAAGGAGAACTGAATTAGGAGTTTCTTCTGAGCTCTTAATTCAAATGTTTTCGATATTGTACTTTGGCCTTTGAAAACCTTTTTCTTATATAAGTATAGAAACTTTGGCCCAAGCCCGGTTCTCAACTTTGTACTTCTTCCTCAATACTCAAATGTATGACAGAAGCCCTTTTGTGCAATTACCGAATTTGCTATAGCTAACAATGTTGAACATACAGGATATTTTCTCGAGGGAATCATTCATCAACACGCGGGCACAGCCAGAGGATGTCATTGAAGGTTGGCGTCCGAAAGTGGAGGGTTGATAATATCCTCTCATGCTACTCTTTTCTTTCACTTGCCCGAGACGCTTTATGTTACATCCAACTCTAGTTGAGTATATATTCAGAAGCATTCCATTAGAGTTGAATACCAATATCGCTATGTATTAGCCTTGATTATTCGCCATGAACTAAAGCATAATTGTTGTTTTATAGTTGGCCACAGACTGTAACATGTTAGGGAGAGCCCTTGAAGACTGCCTGTAAAGCAAAATAGTTGCATTCTGCAAATAGAAACTAGAATTGCATTCCTTAAACTAGTGCTGCACTATGTAAGAAATAATTGTACGGTTGGGAATGGGATATGATGTGCCATTGACCTTGGTCTTAAATAAAGAGGTAACTTTCCCTACCCTCAACATCAGTTTTATTGGTCCGAATTTCATTTCTCATGTTTCAGCTCAATCACCATGCATGTTGGGATTTTATATAACAATAAATGAAAAATTAGGATTGAATTAGAACAAGGTTGAAGTAGGGGTGTAATCGGATAAGTTTGGAACAGTTTTTAGTTTAAAAAAAAGGTCTGAATCGATGATATTTCTATTGGTTCGGTTTGATTTAGTTTTTAATAGGCTTAAATGCACTTTTGGTCCCTCTATTTTCAAGTTTTTAAGTTTTAGTCCTCCATTTTAAAAATCAACTTTTTAGTCTTTAAACTTTACTTCACTCGGAATTTGTTAGTCCCCCTCTAGTTTTCAATACATAGTGTCTTTATTAATGACACGACACTGCAACAATAACTCCACATTAGATTTTATGTCATTTTTAATTAAAAATAATTGTTCTTAACTATCGTTCTTGCCTTGGAAAATTTTGAAATGGCACTGCTGCAGTAGCTTCCAAGTCAAGAATAATAGTTCAATAACAATTATTTTTAATTAAAATTACTGCAGTAGCTTCCAAGTCAAGAATAATAGTTCAATAACAATTATTTTTAATTAAAATTAAAAATGACATAAAATCTAACGTGGAGTTACCCAAGACATGTCATTAATAGAGGGAGACAAACACAAATCCCCATTAGTTTAGGGATTATAAAGTTGGTTATTTTTAATTAAAAATGACATAAAATCTAACGTGGAGTTACCGAAGACATGTCATTAATAGAGGGAGACAAACACAAATCCCCATTGTGGTAAAGTTTAGGGATTATAAAGTTGGTTTTTAAAGTGGGAAGATTAAAATTTAAAAAACTTTAAAATAGGGGGACTAAAAGTACATTTAAGTCTTTTTAATATTTTTCAAAAATGAAATCGAACTAAACTAGTCTGTTTGGTTTGGTTGATCGGTTTACAATATTGTTTTTCAAATATTATATTCATCAGTGTATTTTCCACTATCGTATTTTCGGTGTATTTTATGCTATTATTTTTTAAAATAAAACACTTCATGTAATTTATTCCATGCTATTTTTAAACAAGTTGCATGTGGCAAACATTGTCATGATTTCTATTGCATCATAAAATAAGTTCATTGTTAAATATAAAAGTTGACATTTACCATCAAAAAATTGGAAGGGATTTGAAAGTTTAACAAATAAAACACAGTAAAACACACATCAATTAACATATTTCACATCTCAAACACACATTAAAATTATTTTTTAACAAAACTAGAAGGAATTTTGTTGAAGAAGAAATATAAAAGATAAAAAAATGAAAATTAACGAAGAAAATTTAAGCACGAGGGTGATCATGAAATATCAGAATGACGGTAGAGAGAGAAACAGTTGTGGCGGGCATCGCGAGCCGAAATTTTAGTGAAAATTACTTTTTATGACCTATGGTCTCAACTTTCTATATTTTGGAATTCGGTTATTGATGTGTGTTTTATTGAAAAGAAATTATTAGAGCAATATCAAATTTGTGGTTAATAATAGGTTGAATAAAAGATTTAAAACATAATCATATTTATGGATTCGGTTCATCGGTTTGGCATTTTCTAAAAACTAAAACGTTGAATAAAAGATTTAAAACATAATCATATTTATGGATTCGGTTCATCGGTTTGACATTTTCTAAAAACTAAAATCGATAACTAAATCAAATCACGTCAATTTTCATTTGATTTTGAAACCAGAAACAATTGAAATTGCATTTTTCAACAACTCTGCACTAAGTGTGAGATTTGTTGTTGACTCTTAAAAAAAGTTATCTGCAATGTAACAATTTCAATAATGAAACCTGATAATAAGTCTTTACCACATATTTTTTAACAAAATTAGTTTGTCGATATTGTCTTTTTTTCTCATTAGACTAATTAATTAAATTCTGAATTAATAAGAAATGGATGGATTGTATAAAAAGACATTGGTAAAAGAATACTTTAATGGACATGCATTGTAAAGAAATTTTACACGTTTGTCCAATAAAAAATCACCCAAATCGTTTAAAATATAGTATGATTTAGCGGTGCATCTCCTATTTTCTCTATAAAAATACCCATAACTTAAAGGTGTTTAATTGACATTCATGATCAACCAAGTAACAACAAACTATATGTTTTCATATTCCTATTTGACAACTGAACATTGATAATTGGTAAATCATCATCTGCAGATTCAAACCTAACATTACCCGAGGAAAAAACCGAAACTCCATTTAGTAACTTGTATAAGAGAGGAAAAAAAGGTAATCTAAACAATATAAGTATATAACCAATAATTCATATTTCCCTTCCAATTTAAAACCTTTATAAAACTGGAAAATCACTTTCCTATTTGCAGGATATTATACAGATCACAGTCAACTTCTCTCACTACGGCTCCTTATAATATTGTTATTCTCACATCTAATTTGTAGTGTACAGATTGATCAAAGCCCGTGCAACAGACAACCTTTGCAGCCAGAAAACCTTGTTCTTGAACTCGACAATGATCTGCCATTGATAGCAAATATCCAAAGACATTAGAACTCGAGATATATATCTCATAACAAACATATTAACAATTGATCAAACGACATCCATACCATTGTTGGTTTTTCCTGAACTCAGTAAGCACTGGATATATTTTATCGAATGCTGTGTAAATCTCATTTCTCGACTATAGAAAGGAAATGAAAACATTAGTCAAATAAGTCAGAAAAATAACAAGAGATACAAAGGAATATCTCAAGATCATGCATTACTTACCTTGGTTCCTTTCAGAAAAACTTTTCCAGAGTCGAATATATATAAGACTATATTTGGTTGCTTCATTTGGTAGATTAGCCATGGAAATAACTCTGGGTTATACTAGAACAGGAACAAACAAGCAAGTTCAATATGTGTTTATCATCCCTTAAAGTTCTAGTATGGAATAAATTTAGAAACAAACTGCACAATGGCTATTTCCATGTAGTACATTTTAACTTTACCACACAAAAGAATCATAACTGAAAATACTCTACAACTAGTTCCAACCATTTTAGTTTAGAAAATTTTAAAAGCTTTGTAACATAAGTATATGACAAAGGAATAATGGATGTTTGACTGTCATCAAAATAAGGATTAGTTTTGCACTGCGCAGTACCCACTCTTTGGATTGAAGGCATGTCTAACACGGATACGAGTGGTAACATTCCATTGGTTCCCTTTTCTCAAATTATTACCGGTGTTCTCATGTTTTCGTATTTGAGCTTCATAGGTTTTGCATCTATACAGTTCAAAAAACTGAAGCAAAACCATACATGAAAAATCAAACTCTTGATGTCAGATCAGAGTTCCAAACTGGCTTTTTTAATCTAGGTTCGCTAACTTTTTAACTTAGAGCAGTTTGAAAACCAAGCTGGGAGCCACTAAATATCCACCATTACTAAATTGAACATTTCCCAAATCAACTCAATATAGTTACCCTCAGTATACAAAATCAAACCCGAGTTATCCTCGAAGAACCTTGATCACACTATTTTCTTATTTATGAACCCTAAATTCCAAACCCGCAACTCCAATCTAGACATCTTCATTGGCACAAACTCTAGTGCTTCATTCATCAAACAATATGGAGGCTCTCTTCTGCATGCAATCTCCCCCGCCTTAAGTGAGGTATGTGTAAAACGCCCCTACTGCGATTTTTCATTTTGCTTATTATATAAATTTTGCCTTTGTTTGTTTTTCTGGTTTAATTATAAGGGGGTAAGTACTAGTTGTTTGATGAAATACTCAATCAGACTTAGATTTATCATCTTCTCATGTATTGAGAATTGGATAAAACCTTAGTCTGTTGGGGGTTTTTCATCAAACAATTGGTTACCTCTTAGAAGAAGAAAAACTCAGAAAAACAAACGCACGCAAAAAACATATAATCTACAAATGAAAAGCACATCAAAAGGATAGTTTAACACATACTCATTAAGGGTGAGGGGGGTTAATTTGCAAGCAAAGAGAACCTGTCTCATAGATTAATGAAGCAGTAGGGTTTGTGCATGTGAAGATGAATGGTGTGATTAAAGTACATTGAGGATAACTGATTAAAACACATTAAGACCAACTGGCTCAATTTTGCATATTGAGGCTAAATGCAATGAGTAGTTTGCCATTTTGCATGAAACATTTGATATAGTAACTATTGTTTAGTGGCTTTCAGTTCTGTTCACGAACTGCACCGTGTTTAATAATAGTCCTTTGTAGAATACTTGAGAATGAGGTATATAATTAAAGGAAACACACAAAAATCATGCAAAATGATAATGATAAGTATTATTAGGCTTGTGGTAAAATAAAACTCACCAAAGGCCTCTACACGCCCTAATAATAAGATTCTTAAAAATAACTAATTCAAAGAAACACATAAAAATCATGTGAAAAGAAAATAAGAATTGTTGTTAGGCTTGTGTTAAAATAAAACTCACCAAAGGCCTAAACATGCCCTAACAAGAGTTTTTTATTTTTAAAAATCATCATATAATTGACAAGTCTGTATAATAACCACACGCTCCAGAGGACCAGAAACGGATATTAGTTAGTACGAAAAATTGTTGTCAAGACCATTTTGATTAAATTCACCAGGCGAAACAGAAAACGATGGCTTCATTATGTACTTACACTAGTGCAAGAGACATGGGAATTAGCAAGACGCTCAAGCCATATGGGGAACTTGACATCACATGATCCAACAATTTCCTGAATCTTAAAATCCTAAAGCAAAATACAAAAGGAATTAATCAATGACCAAAAACGGAGGGAACAATACCCAATTTAAGGTGAAGCAGTTTTAGTTGAGATAATGTGAGAGCAGTTGTACCTTAAATTTAGCCGGGAAGCCCATCTTCCGAATAATTGCTACATACTGAAGGAGACAGAAAAGTTTGAAGCTTTAATATACAGGATGAAAAACGAATGAGCTTAGAAAAGAAAAGAACATCAGTATACCTTACTTGCCGCCAATTTTGACTGGCTCTCACTCCTAGCTCCAGTACAGACCTAACCTTGGCAGTTAAATTTGAAAAAGCTTAAGAAACATGTATCCACTACAAGCAACATGCTAAAATATAATTTTATTCTTAGAGTATTAATAGAAGTCCTTCAAAAATAAAATAAGAAAATAAAAATGGATCTTATTGTAATTGCAGTAGAATCAGAATTCCCATTATTCAAGGACAATTCTGGTGATAGTGATATATGCCTTGATTTCGACACCAAAAAAAGAATCAACCAAGCACTAGTTGGTTGTGAAATTGTATCTTATGATTCCGTTGAAACTATGCAGAAGAGCCAGAAGCAACAAAAGGAACATACCATCATCCCAGAAGAACTGATTTGTGCTTTTGATTCTGGTGCCCTGATCCTCATACTCACAGAAGGATGACGCTGCAAAGATTCGAATCACAGACTTCAGCACTGCAGACAAATGACCAACTAGCATGACAAAATATCAAGCATGTATTTATTTATTGTTGATTTCAGATGACAAAATTGTATGGCATAAGTGATTGACATCAATGATAATGCTGATAGAAAATCTTATAGATAACAAAGCTTTTCCAAATCACATAGAAACAACGGAAATTTTGAAGGAAAAAAAAAACAAGATGACAACACTCCAAAAATAAACAAAAACATATCTCGCTATATCAACCTACATTGAACTTTGGATTAAAAAACAAAACAGTCTATTGCGCACAACTTAATAAACAAAACTTGCCTGGGGATTGTACTCTGCAGTAGGAGCTTGAAGCTTAATGGATTTAAGGTCCAACTTACAGTCCAAATTGACAGTTGACACAATATTTCTGGCAATACAAATAGTATAATTTTTTAGATATTATAAAGCACACACATGCAATCATTATCCTGTCAACATATCTCGCGATATCCACACAAGCAATTCGAACTTAAAATTAGAGTTCATTGTAGAATAAACAGACACGCACATAGGGGCATCAATTCCAATCAACTCCCTAATGGAATATAAGTTATAACTCTCCTCCAATATGAACATGCCCATTAAAACTCAGTCCCAAGGCTTTGAAGACTTATATTTATTTATTTGGAAAGAACCGCTAAAAGAATTACATGAATTTGTAAGCTCTGAGCCTATGACAAATACAGAAAACAAGACCGAACATTTACATAGAAGTCTTATGCAGGACAGTTTATTTAGAAGTAATGGTTTCGTTTGGCTAAATAGAAAGAGAGAGAAAAACAGCATTTGCATAATAATAAACCTCATTAGAAATTAGAAAAAAGTAGTGAATTTCATTATCATTTGTATTAAGATGTGGTTAGGCCTAATTCAACCCTACAAAACCGGCTTTTAGGGTGAGGATTGCCCCCACTTATAAACCACATGTTCAGGCCATATATTGTCCGATGTGGGACTCTTAACACACCCCCTCACGCCCAGGACTAGACAACTGGAGCGTGGAAATAAATGGTGGATGGCCCACTGGATCTTAAACGAGGCTCTGATACCATATAGCATGTGGTAGATGACGTAGAGAAGTAGTAAAGGTATTTTGTAACATTTATTGATGATTTTTCACGTTGCACGTGGCTATTTTTAATGAAAAACAGATCTGAATTATTTTCTATTTTTGAACAATTTTATCAAGAAATAAGAACCCAATTTGGTTTGTCCATTCGTACCTTAAGAAGTGACAATGCTCGTGAATATTTATCCCAACAATTTCAAACTTTTATGTCATCCAATGGTATTCTACACCAAACATCTTGTCCTCATACACCTCAACAAAACGGGATAGCCGAACGCAAAAACCAGCATCTCGTAGAAACCACTCGGACTCTACTTCTCCATGGTAATGTCCCTCTCAGATTTTGGGGGGATGCTGTGCTCACAGCGTGTTATCTCATAAATCGCATGCCCTCATCTGTCCTTAATAATAAAATCCCTCATTCAATCTTGTTTCCAAACTCTCCTCTTCATCCAATTCCTCCTCGAGTCTTCGGGTCTACATGTTTTGTGCATAATCTCTCCCCTGGTCTTGATAAACTATCAGCTCGATCACTAAAGTGTGTCTTTCTTGGTTATCATCGATCCAAAAAGGGTTATCGTTGCTACTCACACACTCTGCAACGATACCTGATATCGGCCGATGTTACCTTCTTCGAGTCTGTGCCATATTTTGCGTCCACCCAAGTCACTCCGGAACCCCTTCAGGAAAGTACTCCCACACCTCTTCCGGACGTCCCATTTCCCATTATTCCCCATCATTCTAGGGAACCTGTCCCACGAGAAACCCCTACGGTTTAACCTAAATGTCTCTTAGTCTCTCCTAATTCAATAATTTGCATGTTGTATTGACAATATCATACGCAGGGGATCACTTGTATTCCATGAAACACGGACACCAGACACATAAGAGCCAACATGATAAAGCTAATGTCCAAAATATAGGATACCTGGACACTTCATCACAAATGAGCACACCAACATGCCAAAAAACTCAAATTCATATTACTCATTTGAATCAACCAAAACATACAGAAGATAGACACTTACTCATCTTTGCTTGCAATCAGAATCAACGTGCAGTGAGGAAGCATATAATTAATTAAAAGAAAACAAGTTACTCACATAATGGTGGGTACAATCCCAGAAGGATACTTTTCTAGATTCACAGATTGGTTCTCTTCCAATCCTTGGTCATCCATTTGATGATATTTCTTTTGTATACTATGCTTCAAAACCTCACTGTCACAAAGCTGAAAATCAACAATAACCATCATGTTCCACATTTTGTCAGTAACAAAATACGAATCTTTGAGGCAAAAAAATTCAAAAACAAAGAAAATTTGGCATGATCGAATAAAAAAAATTGGGAGATAATGTGGTTATATATATGAATTTAATATAGTCATTGATAAGAGTGTAATGGATAACAGACCTTTGTTTTCTTGTGGCGGGGAGAAGTAAGAACTAGGGTTTGAGTCAACCAGAGACGACACAGAGGCGAGGCGACGGCGTGATAGAGGCGGGCTATATATGAAGCGAGACGGTGAGGACAGAGAAAAGCTAGTGCTGAGAGAGGCGTGATGAGGACTAGAGTGAGAGAAGTGTTATATTTTATTTTTGTTACATTTTTTTTAGGATTATATTTATGCTTGAATATCAAATTAGTCACTTTTCAAAAATAACCATTTTTCAAGGTGGTTTTTTTTTAAATAATCATTTTTTAAAAAAAAATTCTAAATAATCAATTTTTTAAAAATTTTACTAAAATGATTACTTTTCAAATAAAAAAATTTCGCCACACAGAGGAGTAGCCACTCTGGGTGGCGCATGCATTCAACTTAAAAAGGAGGCGCCACATTGTATGGCTTGTCCTCCTCTATAAAGTCATGCAGTGTGGCGCATGCATGTGTTTTTGAGAGGAGGCGTCATCCTCCTTTGCTTGACAGTGTTATTGTAATTTTTTTTTAAATAAATTAAAAAAAAAAACTAAAAATATTTTATATTAATATCTAATATTACACAACGCATGAATACATTTTTTTTGGACGTCCCCTCAACCTAAGCAGGTCCCCGTATGACATAAACGGCTGCGTCTTTGCCTCGCCCCTTATCTCACTCCTCTCTGTTGATTTTCCTGAGGTGTTTGTGGTTTGTTCTGACTCGCTTGATTATGAGGTGCTTGATGTGATGGTTCTGGTACATCAGAATCATACATCTCATCGATCATTTCGCCTCATTGTGTCGTGCTTCCAAAGAGACCGGTGCCAATATTATTGAAGTTTGGTCTTGTTGGTTGGGATATGTGTGGGTGGTGGGGTGGTTGATAGTATTGGGATGTTGAATCGTGATGGAAACGAAGCAACAGTTCTTGTGGTGTATGAAATTCGTATGATGGTTGGGTACTTCGATAGTGTGATGTTTGACGGTATGTAGGTTGAGTGGTATGGTAGGAAGGAGATGTATCATATGTGTCTTGGGTGTTGTGGTAGGATGAGGATGGTGCATATTGTTGGTGGTGGGTCGGGTCATGTTCTTGGTATTATGTTTATGTGTGTGGCATGAATTGATGATGAGTTTGGTTGAATGAGGTGGTGTATGGTTGTTGGGTTTGAGTGGGTTGACATTGTGGTTAGATTTGGTATTGTTGAGGGGTTGGTTGTTGGGTTTGGTATTATTGAGGGGTTGGTTGTTGGGGTTGTTGTTGGGCGTATGTTGCAGCTCTTTGGCGTGGGTCAATCAAATAAGTCTCTTGAGACAGAAACAAATATGTTGAAATCGATGTGTACCATCTCAAATATTTGAGCGTCGGTTTTAAGTCACTTGCAAGATCGACTCCCTTAGGACCAATTCACATTTATGCCTCCATTGACGACATTGATTTTTAGCGAAGTCTCTCAAATCGTTAAATCCCCACTGATCGTCAACTCTGAGTAGATGCCATTGGCCCAAACATGTTAGGGGTCGGGGATGCCCTGTTGCATGCCGAACTGTAGCTTCACACAATCATTGTGGTGCATCACCACAGTAGTGAACCTGATGAGTGTTGTTTTTGCAGTCCAGACTTCAGCATCAGGAGGGTTAATCTCATGGTTGAGATCCTTATACGGCCTCCATACAAACTGTAGAGTAAAAAAAGTTATATAAAATATTAAACTTAATTAAACTATAGAATGTGTTGTATAAAATATGTAAGTTTAATACCTCTTCGGGTCCAACATGATCAATAAGATTTCGATAGACTACTATTGCGTTTCTAGGAGATTTGTTGTAATTCATCCCAAAAACAGACCACCTACATAGAAAAAATGGGTAATAAATTAATACACTACATGTCTCGGTAGATAATATGTAAAATTTAGGATTTTGTAATCTTACTTTGTAGCAAATGGGAAGACGAATGGCCTCGTGTTGTAGGGGGGGAGTATCGGTATTCTCGACCAGCACCATGTATGGAGCAAAAAGGCGCAAGAATAGAAAGAACAACTATTGTTTGATGCATTTTTACACAAGGAACTATACAGATAGGCCAAAACAACTAAACCCCAACTATATGTGTTTATTTTATCAAATTGTCTTAACAAGGGTAAATACATGATATTAACAGTATTACCCGTTGTTTCGGGAAATAAAAAATGGCCAAATAATATCATTATGTAACACCGAGCTTTCACAATTTTTTCTTGCTCGGTAGAGTTTTCCGTTATTACGAAACTACTATGATATTCTCTAAGAAGACGGAGATTAATACCTTGGCCTCTTGACCCTTGTTCAAATAAAGAGACTCCCAAAAGTTCCTCGCATATGGTGTTGTCTTGGTTGACTTGACCATTGACAACCTTACCGTTGATCGGTAGACCGAATAACATGTACACGTCCTCTAGTGTGACTATACATTCACCACATGGAAGATGAAAGGTGTGAGTTTCGGGTCTCTATCTCTCCACTAATGCGGGAATAGTTTTATAGTCAACATGGTAATTGACTATGTTGAGTAACGGACCAGAACCGGCATATCGTAAGTACGGTTCAATTTGAATGTCGTAAGGGACATACTCATGGACATGACAACGCAATCTTTTAACATCCTATTAAAACATGAATTACGTATAAGAAATACAAGATTTATGTATAACAATCATAATAATTAAAGAACAATAAATTATCGGTAAAAAATAGGTATTGAGGAAAATACACTTACAAAGGTTTTAATGTTGTTCAGAGTTCCTCTATGTTTATCACCCATGGTCAAGAGAAACATTTTTTCTTGATTACTCTTGTGTTGTTGTTGAGACTTCAAGAAAGAAATAGTGTATGAGTTATGATTGTGATGAAAATATAGGGTGAATATTACATGTATTTATAGGAAAATCTTGAAGAACACTTTGCATGCAACTTATACACATAGGCGCCACACTAGGTGGCGTATGCTCTTCCTTATTGCACATAGGCGCCACACTAGGTGACGCATGCTCTCATGGTTGTACATAGGCGCCATTCAACATGGCTTATTGCTTTTTGCATGCATGCAAACCTGCAGCGTGGCAGGGATCAGATGGCATGCATGCAAGTTTTGTTGTTCAATGACAAATCACCCTAGGTGGCGCATGCATGTAAAAGGAGGAGGATAAACCACCTAGGGTGGCGCATGCATGAGAAAATAGGAGGATAAGCCACCTAGGGTGGTGCATGCATGATAAAATAGGAGGATAAGTCATCTAGGGTGGCGCATGCATATAGAATATCAATCTATTTAATCGTCTGTGTAGGTTGCATTACTAGTATACATCCATAACACACAAAACACACACCTCAACAACATGGATCATTCACAAAATTATACTATTGTTGCCCATATTAACGGTGAGACATTCAACTGCGATAACTTAGGTTTTAATTTCCGTAATACTGATTTTATCCGCTTTCGGATAAACAAGAAATCAAGTTTTACACGCTTCAACGATAGAGTAGAATCTAAATTGTAGTGTGGTCTAGTTTACCAAATTCTTTATAAGTTCCTATTTCTATTTGACAACAACCAAGTCAAATTTTATCAACTTAAGGTGCGCGACGATGATGATGTTCAAAACATATTTAGAACTCATGAACAATCTGGGTTCAATGAGATTGAGTTGTATGTTTTATTACAACAACCAGATCAATCTCAGGTGGTAGATCATTCTCAAGACTTTGAAGAATAGGATGAATCTGATGAGGACAACTATCTTGAAGTCGATGTTATTGACCAAGAAGAAGATGATGATAAGGCAATGATTAATTTTATGGTCAATGATGACGCTGCAGATCAAGAGCATGAACCTATACCTGTAAGTCATGCGTACGACCCTCCGTTTCACATGACGAACTTGAACTTGGGGGAAGATGAACCAACCGCAGATATCTTTCACGATCCTTATATGCAGACCAAAGGGGCCTTGAAAGTTGCAGACAAATTTCGAACAAAAGAAGAGTGTCTTAGAGCTATCAAAAAATACCATATGGAAATTTTAGCTGACTTCACTGTAGATAAAAATAATTCAGGGAGGTACGTTATATTATGTCGTCAAAAACACTAATTTTCCCTTTTCGGTTAACTGCATCTTACAGGAAGAGAAATGATTCATGGGAAATAGGTTACATTGATCCACTTCACACTTGCATCACCATTGTTCTGACACGGGATCATTGGAAACTTAGTTCTCAACTAATATGTCAAGAAATCTTGCCTCTTATTAGCAAAAATCCATCATTAAAGGTGAGTACAACTATTTCTCATATCAATACGAGATTCAATTATACTCCCTCTTACAAGAAGGCATGGATCGGGAGGACTAAGGCAGTTGAACTTGTGTATGGTAATTGGGAAGAATCGTACAATGAACTTCCAAGATTTTTGGTGGCACTCAAATATTATGCTCCGAGAACTGTTATAATTTTGGAGACACTTCCGACTTTTACCCCAGACAGAAATCGTGTTAGTGGAAATGGAATATTTCATCGATTGTTCTGGGCGTTTGAACCATGCATCAAGGGTTTTTCATTTTGAAAACCTATTATACAGATTGATGGAACTTGGTTATACGGGAAGTATAAAGGAACATTACTCATGGCAGTGGCACAAGATGGGAACATTAATGTTTTTCCGACTGCCTTCGCTCTAGTTGAAGGTGAGACAGGTGGTGCATGGAATTTCTTTCTAAAGAATCTCCGATTACACGTTGCTCCACAACCCAACCTTTGTTTGATTTTAGACAGACAGACATCGATTGTGAGTGCATACAATAACCCTGATAACGGTTGGCAGGATCCCCCTTCGACACATGTCTATTGCATTAGACATATCACACAAAACTTCATGCTCCATATCAAAGACAAGACACTTTGAAAGAAAGTTATTAATGCAGGGTATGCCTTAACAGAACCGTCATTCTGATACTATCATGAAGAAATCTAGTTGGCAAACTCATAAGCATTAAGGTGGATCGATAACATTCCAGTGGAGAAGTAGACTCGGGCATTTGACAATGGTCAACGATGGGGCCACATGACAACAAATCTGGTGGAATCATTGAACTTTGTATTCAAAGGCATCTGAAACCTACCAATTATCGCTTTGGTTAGAGCAACATATTTCAGAATGGG